TTTCCCTATTTCCTCTATTTCCACCTGCTCTGTTCTTGGACTCTGTGTTCCTAGGCTTTGGTCTACCTGAAATCTCTAAATTTTCCTCATTCTAGTTTGCTTATTTGGTCTCAGTATAGTTGCCCAAATTCTTCCATTATATTCATTACCTCTTTCCTTAGCCCTGTTTTTTTTCCTGCACCATAACTTGCTGTCACTTACCAGCCAGCATTTCATGGACAGGGAAGCCAATTCCAGGCAAAGGAAGACTAAACATAGTTTGCTTTTGACATTGTTCACATTTCCTGCCCTATAACCTTTTATTTATTTATTTTTGCGGTACACAGGCCTCTCACTGTTGTGGTCTCTCCCGCTGCGGAGCACAGGCTGCAGACGCACAGGCCCAGCAGCCATGGCTCACGGGCCCAGCCGCTCCGTGGCATGTGGGATCTTCCCGGACCGGAGCACGAACCCGTGTCCCCTACATCGGCAGGCGGATTCTCAATCACTGCGCCACCAGGGAAACCCTGCCCTATAACCTTTAACCATACCCTCCACACCTAACTATGTCTCAGCCTTTGGTCAAATTGAAACTCAAACCTTGTTGGCCCAATTCCGAGCCTCATGTATTCTCCATAAACCATGGTACATTGATCAATCCTGTTTATGGCAGCCTCTGCACCTTGCTCATACCATTCCACATGCTTTGAAACCAGCCTCAAAACACTTGAGGATTCATTGCAGATAATGACATCATCATTATCCCATAGACCCAGATTCCATATCTTACAGGCACTACATTCAATATTTTAAATTGATTATCTCATCAATTCCTTATCAACAACCCTATGAGAGACTTAGAATCAGTCACATGCCAAAGCCATACAGTTAATATGTGAACAAGTCGAGGTTTAATCCAGGTCTAGTCTGATCATAAACCCAGGGTTTTAATTACTCTGATGCCTACTCCAGAGATAGAGACAGGGAGAGAAACAGCATAGAGAGAAACTTAATATGATTTTTAAACACCCACCTCTCTATAACGTCCTCTGGGCAATCACTAAAAAAGTCCTAGTATTTTTATGTTTTTCTTTCCTTCTAAATCCATTGCTTCTGTTTTATTTCCACTGCCAATTGCCACATTCATGACTTAGGCCATGGTTAACTCATTACATGTCATTTTACTGTTCTTTTCACTAGTCTTAGTAAATCCAGTTTTTCTTACCTTAAGCAGGGCACAAACACTACATTCAGCCTCCTAAAGGATTCTGTAGTTTGCACAGCCAGACATCAAAATTTATACTGATATCTGTCTGGACTTGGTATAAAATCCAGTCCCAAGAAGCAGCATGATATTGGTGGGGGGAAAGTATAAGGACATAGATTTTGATTTTTGCAATAGTGTTAATAGACTGTATGACCTTGGAAAAAAGCCATTCGACCTGTCTGGAACATCTACTAAAGGATCCTAATCCTCCTGCATGATTAGGTCCTTTAATAATGAATAATGGCACATTTGATTATTTACATTCCTGCCTCCTCAAGAACCACACCACACAAAGTTATTGCATAAGGCTTAGAACAGACTCTCCTTTATCAATTCCTAATCTATGCTGCATCCTTGCTCATAGTCACCTGGTATCTTCAGACTCTAAGTAGATTGGTTTGCTAATTCTGGCAAACCTAATTTGCTAAGTCTGCATCCAAACAAAAACAAAGGAAATTAGATTAACAAGTGAGAAGACTCTAAAAAGGTGAGCTACTCTAAGACTATCATTGCCAGCAATATGACAACTAAACTAACCCGAGGAGGGCCTTCCTTCATTTTTTAGCTGCTAAAGAATCGAAAAGATCCAGCTAGACTCGTGAGTGATACAAACAAATGTCATTCTTACAGTGCCAGGGAAAGCGACACCATAATTTTCGTTCCAGCCTATGTGGAGAAATAAAAACAGGTAATGACTCCCACAGCCAGCAAAAGGAGCACAGAAAGAACAAGAAGGTTCTCCAAATAGCAAATTCCAATGTATTGTGATGAACCTCCTGAGAATTGATTTACACTGGATGTAAGACTTTTCCCCCCTCTTTTGGAGCCATATATATATACATATATATATATATATATATATATGTATATATATATATATAT